CACTGTGATTCACAGTGTGAGGAGGGAGACTTGCATAACAACCCTTTTCCCATTTTTAACAGCCGTTCTTCTAAAATAAATAACCCTCCTATATATTTGCTGCAGTTTCAGGGTTCAGGGCATCAGAGTGTTGGAGGGGCCACAGCATCATAGTGTCCACTGATGTCTGAGGCTGCACAGTGCACACACATACAGGGCCTCAGGGATGACAAACTTGACCCATTTTCTTCGACAGGAGTGTTTATGCTTATATGGCTGTGATGATGAGCACTGTATGACTGTATGTAGGTAAATTATATGGATCAAAGCAAGAAAATGGTGGGAGAAAAACTAAAACATGCAAAATGACAAACATAAACACACATTGTATTATATTATCTGTCGTAATCTATGCAAACAAATGTGTTAATGTGCTATAAAAGCAACAAGGATACTGCATGGAGAAATTACAGCTTCAAAAGGAGGTCAGTGTGTTTTTATAATTTGTTGTAGTCGTGCACTGCAGCAGCACTGAGGCTCAACCGGACGATTATCTGTGGCTGGATCATGTAAACACACAAGATGTACACTTTTCACTTCCTTTTGCATTGATCCCCGCCGCAGCTGTAACTACTAAACCCGCTGTATGGGAACCTTACCTTCGGATAGCTCCAGATCCAACTCCGCCAGCTGGTCCCTGACCTCTTTAGGCAGAGCCGACAGATCAACGCTGCGGTCGGCCATCATTGGAAGCACAGCAGCCTGCGGGATGTTTGCGATATCTCGGATGACGGTAGATACAGTCCAGCATGAAGCTAAAATAAAATCAAGATGAAGCAGTGGTGGTGTTTACTCCATCTTCGCGACTTCCCGACACCGCCATGACTGTGGGAGATGGGAACAACTCGGAGCCAGAGGAGTCACTCTGTCAGTCACATGACCGGGGCTGACGATAATTGCTGTGACAGGACTGTAAAGCGGGCTCTTTGCTCCCTCTGCCGTTGTGTTTTTACAGCTGGGAGGAGAAACAGAATTCCTCCAGAGCCAACTCACCTGCCACCCTCCCCTCAGGTGGAAAACTAGCCCCAGTTTATGCCTCTCATAATTTAACATAACACCGGAGCCCCAAAGCTAACAGTTAGCTTCTGCTTTCCAGTAATAAAATAACCAGTTTAAACTTTGAAAAAAAACTCTTATAGTCCTAAAACAACCCTTAATACCTTAGGTTACTAAATACCTCTTAGAAAAAGTCACATTACCATCTGGAGGATAAGTAAACATCCTTGCACCCAATAAAAGATTAAGTTAAATATATTTAAACTGTTTCAATTGCGGTAGGCATGCTGTGGCCCAACAAAACAAAGATGGCTGCCGGAAATTATGTCTGCGCTCCATCTCTTCTCTTTATAAATCCATGTGCTCAACGTGTACAAGGTAAAACTAAGTTTATTATTTAATGAAGAATGGTTGAAATACATTTTTCTTAAATATATAATTGTAATTGATACATTAGGCAACAAGGATGAACATGTCATCCATTGCAATTCCTTTATACTGTAACATTTCTATTGATATTTGTATTATGTTCTTTGTGTAAACGTATCCGTCTTATTGTGTTTTACACTTGATGCTGTTGCTGCTCATACATACACCTCACTTTTGCTAGAGGGATTAATAAAGGTTTATCCTGAACAATAACAACAGTATTTAGCCAAACCATAGCATAATATAATTTATATTTTAAAATGTGTAGAAGGTGAGCTGGGGGAGTTGGTTCAAATGAGCCAAATGCAGCTGTTTGTAATAGCATCATCTATGATATATGGGTGCTTTGCTTACGTTTTTTAGTAAAGAACATGCTTGATCATTAGCAACTACAGCACAGCCCATGCTCTGTTATACATTGATTTTTTTCTACATTTCGTATTTTATACAAACCTTATATTATGTAATGTGAATATTCATATATCTTAAGATTTGAGTGTCAGGTAAGGGGTCATACCAGAATGTTGCCAAGGGCCTCAGTTGGGTCAGGCCCTGTAGAAAGAAGATGTACGCACAACTCTAGAGTTGTCAACTTTCAAGTTAAATAGCAGGGTTGCAAGTTGCAATTATCTTCATTTGCCAATTAATTACTCAATTAATCATTTTTTCTATAAAAAGGAAGTAAGTTAATGATGAACTAAAAGAGAAAAATGTCCATATTTGGGAGGCTGAACACAGCAATTTCTGCAATACAAGAGGAACAAAGTGGGGATAGGTGGGAACATTCTGATTATGGTTTCCTTTTCATTAATTTATTTTTAATATTTGCCCAAGACAATGTATTCATAAGTTGAGACTATACACAAGTAATTTTCCCATCTTGAAGCCTGAGTATTCGACAAACTCTCCATACAGATAGAAACATGTTTTCATGTGGTTCAAGACATCTATGCTCTTAAACTAAAATAAAAAAGGGACATACAAATCACATGATGGGAAAAAAAGCCTGACATGCCCACAGAGAAAAAAATAAACATCTTAAAAACAATGACGTTATTAAAAAAATAAAACACAGAATGACAAGGGGGGGGGGAATGATAGTCTTGGAAGTACACTGCGGTATAAAATAATATACATTTCAAAACTTAAATTTCAAAAGAAGCACCTCGCACAACTATTAGAGTCTTTATCATGATACAAGACAGCTTTTCAAATGTTGGAAAGCACCCAGGACAAGGACATCTGTAAGTTTCTACAGATCTGCACTAATCACTAATCTCATTCATTCAAAAATATTCATTACATTTCCTCTGGTCACCTCATAACTTTAGCTTTCAACTGAAATGGATGAAAACCCTCTCAGCGGCTGCCGGGTGGGCTACAGACAACAAATAAATGCAAGAACATTGATATTCAATAGAAAAATATATTGCACTACTCTTTTCCTCAAATGAAATGCCAGGGTAAATGATTTATTATCTATTATGTCTGATTATCATTTGAAGGCCATCTAAAGCTAACTATTTCAAGAGTGTTACATGAGGACTGAGGATTAAATCCGTATATAACGAGGACAATTTTTGCATCAGTAAATTGATGTTTAAAACAGAAGAAAAGCATAACAATAAACAGTAATAGTATGATGAAGCACAAACAGTGGTATTCTTCAGCCTCGAGTAATCCATGCAGTCAATAGGGTTTGATACATACACGACTAATGTAAAGACATACATTCCAATTAGGTTAAAATTGATGGTAAAAAAAGTCAGGCACACACTCACAGGATAAACTGTGCACACATCGACAATTTGTTTTTGTTTTTTGCACTCGGCTGACTAAACCGTCATGTGTGTTTAAAGAGAACACAAATGTTCAGATTGAAAAGTAAACAACAAAAAGACCACGTAAAAAAATTCCAGGCTGACTTTTACTGAAATCAGCCAGCCAATCTCTCACCATACTTTCACTGCATCAGCAAACATTATGTCGAATACCAGTATCAGGCATAACAATCTTTTCATACAAATGAAAAATACAATTGTCAGCCTGGAAAGCAACCAACCTCATCACAGCCAGTGTGTGGGACTGAAGTTGAACTGAACATTTATTTTTAGGTAAAATTAACTTTTTCCTACATACTTTTCATCCAAATGTATACCTTCAACTGTCACTAATGAACAAGAAATGACTACACACTTAAGAGCGAGTGTTTGATGTGTTGTTCATATTTACATACAGAGAGTGCCCAAGCGTCTCTTAACAGGGAGCCTGCTGGGACTGGAGGGTTGACGGAGGCACTGGGCCGTGTCTTTGTGTGATTATCATTGGCTGTGAGGGGACGAGTGTATCTTAGTCTGGGGTGGGGTTTGAGGGTGAGTTTCTCTTTTACATCACCAGTACTGCCTCAGAATGCCACTTCATACCGGCTACCTGCGTCAGCACATCATCTCTGGTCCGACTGTGACTGAGTTGCCATTACAACACCCCCCGGCTGGCCTGACCCCATGCCGGCCAAGACCGACATGGCCACCGCCTCTGCAGCACGGACGCTCAGCCCGTTGATGGTGGCAACTGGGCTGGAGGCCGAGGCGGTTGGTGACGGCCCGTGCTGAATGACCGCCGCTGGGGAGCCGATGGGTTCACTGGAAGTATCCCTGGAGTTTTCCTCTCCTCCTGCAGCTATAGACAGAGAAAGAAACATTCACCCTTAAGAGAGGTGAGCGAGTAAAAAGAACACATTAGATGGATGAGGTGATAGATGGATCCTGACGAAAGAAAAAGATACAGCCCAGGATTCTTGTTTGCAGCTCAATGGTTACCTAAGAAAGCTGCCTTTTTCTGCATAACAGTCACCGGGCAGTCTTTGTGGGCCAGGAGGAGCTGCTTCAGCTGTGCCACCTCGTTCCTCAGTAGGCCCACTTCATTCTGATGGCAACACAAAACATCCAAATCATTTGCATGACCAATCTCTGTTCATGTTTAAACATGGATCCTACACATCACCAGGGATGGGATTATATAGGATAAAAACACACAATAAGTTGAGCAAGGGGAATTTCCATCATCTTGAGTATCCTCATGAATGACCCCAAAAACGCTGTTTAGCTATTAATTATGAATTGAAAAAAGTTTCACACTTTTCCAAGCTGAATATGAACCCTGCTTAAATTCTGGATACAACCCTTGATTGGGAAGTGGACGACTTACCGAAAGAGAGACATTCATGTTGACCAGATCATCTGCCTTTTTCTCCAAAGAGTTAACCCACACTTTTCGTTTTTGCCTGCAACGGGAGGCGGCCGCCCGATTTCTCTCCAGGAAGCGCTCCCTCCTCTCATCAGGGTCCATCTCTGAAGCTCGCCGCCGCCGGCCTCCTGTTGGCTGAGCAGGGGACACCTGGAAGATGGGGAGGGAGGTGCAGTGAGCAAAGACAAATAAAAAACCTAAGTAAATCCAAAAATCTCACTTCACCTTGTTGGGCAAATCATTTATAATAATAAATATAAATTCAACTAAATAATCAAAACCATCAATTGTCTATCTCAACTGTCTATCTACAACACTGGCTCAATAAATACAAATACTATTATAATATAATATTTGATATACTTGTTTAGGCAAAGAGATGGCTTATTATTATGATATTATTAGATAGTCTTCTCAATACAAGGTTCTCATGTGTATTGGTATTACCTGGGGTTGGGCAGGTGATGGTGCGTCAGAGTTTTGAGATGGTTGTTGGCTCTGTTCCTGTCGCTGGGGGACAGCAGGGTTAGATCCTGCCCCCCCACCAGCTCCATCTTGTGCTCCTGGGCCCTGGTGAGTGAGAGCTGCCTTCAGCCTCTATAAAGACACACAAATAACGCTCCATGAAGAACATTTAACTTTAAGCTCACTAAAAGACGCAATATAGAGAAGCAATTGTCACACAATAAAACAGCTTTTCAGGGCCTGCCTCCAACAAACTTATGCCAACATGAGTGACCATCTCACCATCTTGGCCTCGGAGTGCAGGCTATACCCAGACGGGGAGGATGAGCCGCTGCTGGCTCCGCCAACTGGAGGCCCTGGAATCCCAGGGATGTAAGGCACAGAGTTCAATGGCCTCGCAAGCTACAAATGACCACACATAGACGAGAGAGAAAGAGAGAAACAGACACAAAATTGTACATTTTAAGAGAATCCTTTTTTATACATTTGTGCCACGTTTTGTAAAAAAGCTTACAGATATAACGGAGGTCATCTGAGAGGGACTGGGCAGTAGAGGGATTGTTTGCCCATTGGGGAGGTGCCTCACCAGTGGAAATGCACTTGTTGGGGATCTGTTGACAAGAACAGTACATTCTCAAATTCTCCGTTCTGTGCCCTTCGACAAAATACAGATTGAGAACCAGGTTTACAAAGTATTTTATTTGTTC